ACATATAGTGGTTTATCCAAACAATAAAATAGTACAGCATAAGAAAACATTTTAAAAACAGAAAGAGTTCCTATATATTACATGAAGGGGCTAAGAGAAGCCTACACACATCCACACATTCAGACCTCAAAAAAACCCAAAATCTAATTTTGCAGTATATATCTTCTCTTTTACTAGATCAAAAGATAAAATATGTAATAAAGGATAATCATCTAAATACAAAACAAGTCACAAGTCAGAAGAAAAAAAAAAACCCTCTCCCTTCAAAAAAATGAAGAAAAAGAAACCAAACCATGGGAAATATAAATAAGTGATCTGATGTGTGTGTGTGTGTGTATAAACTGTATACAATTCGACCTCACACTGCTTAAAAATGAATCTTTTAAAAATCAGTTATTTCAGGGCTGGGGTTGTGGCTCAATGGTAGAGCACTCGCCCAGCACGTGCGAGGCCCTGGGTTCAATCCTCAGCACCACATAAAATAAATAAATAAATAAAATAAAGATATTGTGTGCATCTACAACTAAAAAATAAATATTAAAATAAAAATCAGTATTTCAGTAGAAATGAATCTAGCCCAGAAGCCTGCTTTTTGGGGAAGAAATGTGGCAGATTTTGCAGGTCAAGGGCATCTTTATGTAATCCAGGCCACTTTTTATTTCTTTAATCATGAGAAAGAATACAGAACATGAAAAGATTACCAACTGCAAAATAGTTTCACAATAAAATTATGCTTAGTGGGGCTGGGGATGTGCTCAGGCGGTGGCGCGCTCGCCTGGCATGCGTGCGGCCCGGGTTCGATCCTCGGCACCATATACAAACAAAGATGTTGTGTCTGCCGAAAACTAAAAATAAATATTAAAAACAATTCTCTTTCTCTTTAAAAAAAAAAAAAAGATTTAAAAAAAATTATGCTTAGTGATAAAATTATGCTTAGTGACTAAAAAGTATTTATATAGTGTACAATTTTTCAAAATGCAGAGAGAGTGTCTTGTCACAGTTAAAACAATACATTTTAAGGGAAGAAAAGGAAGTGATGTGATAGTGCACTGATGATTAGGAACTGACATTATTTACATTTAAGAAAAAATGACCTGCTTTGTAAAAACGGAAGAGAATATTTATTAACTGGTGTGACCAGACACTAAGCTTTAGGCTTTATATATATTCCATCATATTGCATCTGGGTAAAAACAATGTACCAAAAAAAAAAAAAAAAATGCTGAATTGCATGTGGTGGCACATGCCAGTAATCCCAGAAACTCCGGAGGCTGAGACAGGAGGATCACAAGTTTGAAGCCAGCCTGGGCAACTTAGCAAGACCCTGTCTCCAAAGAAAAAACTGATAGGGGATGTAGCTCAGTGGTAAAGTGCCCCTGGGTTCAATCCCCTGTACTGAAAAACAGACAAAACACAGTGCTTAGTAAGATTCCCACAATTATACATAGCATCTAATAAAATGTAAGAAATGAATACCCTTGTTGTAAACTTAGAGACTACAGCAACAGTACAAGTAAGGGTCAGGGGCTGTGAAGTAAAAATACAGTTAATTAACTTTTCATTTTTTTTTTAAATTTAATAATTTTAATATTTATTTAGTTTTCGTCAGACACAACATCTTTGTTTGTATGTGGTGCTGAGGATCGAACCCGGGCCGCACACATTCCAGGTGAGCACGATACCACTTGAGCCACATCCCCAGCCCCTTAACTTTTCATTTTACTACCAACCTATCAACAGCTCTATAAAAGAATGGGTATTCTACCATTGTAGAAAAATACTTTTTTATGAAAAGGCCCTTTATGTTTAAAACACTATTGTATTTATAATTCACAACACTAAAATAGAAAGAAATCCTTTTCTTCTCAAAGCTGATTTTGGAGTCTTGATTTTAAACATTACTTTTAAGAACAGTGATGCTCAAGAAATGTGGAAATGAGCTTCTCCTTATTAAGGGTGAATTATTATCTTATTGTTCCTGGCAGTAAAATTATTTTTTATCTTGGTGTTTCATAGCTAGACAAAAAAAATTATTGATACTATAATTTCTATCAGATGGAAGAGAATCATATAGAGATGACAGTTAAAGATTTACATATCTCCCTAGGTTAGCCCTGAAGAATGCAGACCTGATCAAAAATTAGCTGTGGATCTTGAGCATGTGACTTTACTTCCTCTGGACCTCAATTTCCTTGTCTATAAAACAAGATGGCTAGGGCTGGGGGTGTGGCTCAAGAAGTAGCGTGCTTGCCTGGCATGCGCGGGGTGCTGGGTTCCATCCTCAGCACCACATAAAAATAAAATAAAAGATGTTGTGTCCACCAAAAACTAACAATAAATAAATAAATATTTTTTAAAAAATTAAAAAAAAAAACCAAGATGGCTAGAACAGAGTGTTATTTCCTTTCTTCATCTCTTCTTTGTGGCTTTATGAAATAGGGTTTACATTGTATGTATAGAAAACAAAAAGGCAAGCAGCAACAAAAATCTATTAGATTGTGGAGAAAAGGAGTGAGGATTATGTAAATAACTAGGACACGAAGAAAAAAAGTTGGACACAAACATGGGGTTGTGGCTCAGTGATAGAGCACTTGCCTCACATGCGTGGAGCACTGGGTTCAATCTCAGCACCACATAAATAAATAAAATAAAGGTATTATGTCCATCTGTAACTAATTTAAAAAAAAAGAAACGAGGACAGATTAAAAAAAGGCATTATGGTGCAGGATACAGAATCATGAGCATCACTGTCAAAATTAACTTGAATATAAGTCATTTGTTTATCCAGAAAGACAGTGAGAAATGCTAGAGATGCAGACTTAGAAGTGTGATCTGTAACATACAAGGGGCCTTGCTAAATAACCTAAGAAATCTTTTCAAGTTTTCTCAGTATATATGGAGAGAGATATCACACTCCCTGGCTTAATCATTCATAATTCTGCTCCAACATAATCACCCACTATTTTCCAACAGATTATCCGTCTAGCCAATTTGGCTTCCTCATTTCAAAGGAACTTAGATTATCTCCCCTATCATTCAATGTTCGATCTGAAACACATATTCCCTTCTCAACCTAATAATTCATCAAGTTCTAATAAGGTATTGTTCTAAATATTTTACAAGCATTAACTAATTTAATTCTCTCAATAATCCTAGGAGGGAGGTTAAATAACTTGCTTAAAATTACATGGTAACAGAGCTAGGATTGACACAGTCTGGCTCCAAGTAGCCTGTCAACTTGCTAATTAGTCTTCAACACTCAGGTCAAGTTCTGTCACCTTCTTGAAATTCTCATCTACTTAGCAATTATTCTTGCCTCTTAGGCCATTAAGTAAACCACTCACTTGTCATTTACCATGGGATCCAGTTTATTTATCTTTGTGCATACGTTCTATCTTTTCTTATTTACTTTGTAATACTATTTTAAACTAACAGAACTTAGTATCTGGAACACAGCAGTGCTTATTAATAAAACTAAATAGTACTTAATAGTTATTGAAAACACACACCAGATACTGAGCTAAGTGACAGGTATTATTCTTGACCCTTTTCCATATAGAGGATAAGGAAGCTGAAGCTTAAAGAAACTATCTTGTCTAGTATCACCATGGTAACGATAAGATTCAAATTCCAAAAGTGCAACATAACAGTCTACCATAAATCTTGAAAATAACCATTCAACTTAAATTTACTCAGCAGCAGTACTTTAGCTGTACTTAATACAGGATTCATAGTTGCTGCCTCCAAGAAACTCACACTCCATCAAGACTTCAGGACCAAACTGATACCACTAGCAGAGTCACCATCATTAAAACTTAAGATTTTGGGGCTGGGGTTGTGACCCAGAGGTCGAGTGCTCGCCTAGCAGGTGTGAGGCACTGGGTTCAATCCTCAGCACCACATAAAAATTAAATAAATATATTGTGTCCACCTAAAACTAAAAAATAAATATTAAAAAAAAAAAAAACTTCAGATTTTAACTTACAGTTTAGGGGCAAATTTTTTTTTTTTTTTAGTTCTTAGAAATTCTCTTCTATACCACTCCTCCCTCCAGGATTACCCACTCCCTCTACCCTAGAACTCATCTTTCTATTTGTTGTATTATAGAGTAGAAGGACTCTTGCTAATCCTATCAACTACTGGGACATCTGAATTTAAATTAGCAATAACTTGGACTCAAGGGTCTATCTGATGAATTCCATGCAAATAATAAAATATGAATAATGAAGGACAGTTATAAAAAAAAGCAACACCAAGAAGAAGCAGAGAAAAGGAATACTGGAAAGTCACACTGTAGGGGCTGGAGATGTGGCTCAAGCGGTAGCGCGCTCGCCTGGCATGCGTGCGGCCCGGGTTCAATCCTCAGCACCACATACAAATAAAGATGTTGTGTCCGCCAAGAACTAAACAATAAATATTAAAAATTCTCTCTCTCTCTCTCTTAAAAAAAAAAAAAAGAAAGTCACACTGTAGAGCAAAGATAAGAAAAGCAGGAATATAGACACAAATAGAAGGTGCAATTAAGAGTGCAGAATAAATTCAGTGAAGAAATACAAATAAAAACAATTAAAGCTAATCCAGTTTATAAATGCTGATTGCTTTCTTTTCCTAACCTCTAATGGAAACAAAAAACTGTATGTGAAATGTTAACTGAAAAATTATTAGCTAGGAACAACAGCTACATTAGGAAGAGTTGTTTTTGTTTTGTTTTTTTTTTCCCCTCAGTAAACTATTCAGAATAGCAGAGCTGCAAAAGGACCTTGAGACACTATTTAATCCAACCCACTCATTTTATAGTTAAAACTAAAGCCCAGAAAGGCTAGGTAACTTTAATCCCAAGATCATACAGCTACTTCATAGCAACACATCTGAATCTCATTCCAGTATCTATTCCTAACTCACCAGACTTCCTAGAAATGGTATTTTTTCTTCCTTTTCCACCCTAATAACCATAAATTTCTACATATGCATTTCAGAATCCCCACATAATTTATAGTTACCTTGGATGACAATTACCAGATATTCTGTGTTATCAAGAACAAGACATGTGGGCTGGGGATGTGGCTCAAGCGGTAGCGCGCTTGCCTGGCGTGCGTGCGGCCCGGGTTCGATCCTCAGCACCACATACAGACAGGGATGTTGTGTCCACCGAAAACTAAAAAATAAATATTAAAATTCTCTCTCTCTCTTTCTAAAAAAAAAAAAAATAATAATAATAATAATAATAATAAAAATAAATAAATAAAGAACAAGACATGTAACTTTTTATTTTCATATCTCCAAACTCAGTAATCTTAAATTGGGTCTTATTTCCTACCAGGAAGAAATTCAAATACTTTACTGAAGAGCAGAAGGAAGACAGATCTCCATAAACACCAAATTCAAGCCAGCTGATAAACTACAATCTATACAGAAAGAAGGAGCCTAAGAACCCAGAATGTTGGACAGCTACAGGTGGGAAATATAATGATATCATTTATTTTCTCCTTTTTTTTGGTACCAGGGATTGAACTCAGGGGCACTTGACTACTGAGCCACATCCCCAGCCCTATTTTGTACTTTATTTAGAGACAGGGTCTCACTGAGTTGCTTAGCGCCTTACTTTTGCTAAGGCAGCTTTGAGCTTGCAATCCTCCTGCCTCAGTCTCCTAAACTGCTGGGATTGCAGGCATGCGCCACAGAGCCTGGCATCTCCTTTCTATTTTGAGTGGGCAAAAGGAGGGGACACTAAGGATTAAACCTAGAGATGCTTTACCACTGAGCTATATCCTCAGTCCTTTTTATTTTGAGATAGGATCTCTATAAGGGTCTCTATAAGTTGCCCAGACTGGCCTCAAATTTGAGATTCTTCTGTCTCAGCCTCCTGAGTACCTGGGATTACAGGTATGTACAACTAGACCTGACCCACTTCTGACTAACCTCAGGCTCCCATCTTTCTAACTTCAATTCCAGAAACTATAGAGAAGGCGAGGTAAAGAAATTGAGTATCGTGTCACTTTTAACACAAGTGGATTTTTAGTGTCTTGGCCAGGATATATGGAACAAAGAGAAGAGACATCAGGTAGGCCAACAAACCTGTACTTTTTGCCATAAAAACACTAGAAAGTTCTGAAAATATGTTATATACATTCAATTCAGAATTTCTCCCACTGCAAAGCCCTTGTAGATATTTGAGGCTAGAAGGTAGTCATCATGGACCACACCTATGGTCTAAGATCGTTTGGTGCTCAAAACCCTGATAAACTGTAGGACCTGTTAGCCACCATTCACCAGGTCATTTGACATGAGTGATTTGGCATTCTTCCTTATCACCTTGGTATAAATATAATTATTATCTCAGCTTTAAAAATTCTATGTCTGCCTATAAGGCTAACTGAAGCTTTTTCTGGAAGGGAAAAAAAATGTCTTATTTTACTTCAGGAACATACCTTAATTTTGATATGTATGAAGTTCACTGTAAATTAGGGATAACTTCCTATTACAACATGTTAATCAAATTAGGACAAGTATAGTGAAAATGAAAGGGACAAAAGGATTCAAAAAGAACAAACAAATTTAATTACTCACTGAGTTTGAGAAGTAAAGGAAGGGTAAAAAATGACCAGTAAGAATAATGAAGAAGTTAGGGCTGGAGTTGTTACTCAGTGGTAGAGAGCTTGCCCAGCATGTGTGAGGCTCTGGGTTTAATCCTCAGCACCACATAAAAATAAATAAATAAAATAAAGTTGTCCATCTACAGCTAAAAAAAATTTTTTTTAAAGAATAATGAAGTTGTTAATAGCTAAAGAGGGAAGAGGAGGAAAGAGAGGTGTTTGGGCTGGAGAAAGGGGAAAGGATGATGCGGTATACAGCTGCTGGAGAGATGGTATTTAAATATATTTTCTTTCAAGAAGTATGTGAAAACTTAGACCTCAAGTTTAGACAACAATATAGATTTGGGACCTAAAAGGGATGTTAGAGCACTCTGATGATTGAGGTTGTAGAGAAAGAAAGATTAAAGAAGAACATTTAGACAACTACATTCCTCAGATAGTATATCAGAAATAACTTGCCAGGTGAGCAGTACTCTATTCTACAGAGATAGTGCATTTGGACCAATTTATTGTAATGAGAAGCTTAAATTTTTTTTAATTTCAGATTATGAATTAACAGAAACAAGCTAAAGTAGGTTCATAATTACTATTTGTCTGAAGTCAAATCTCTGAACTAGAACACGATTTTTAAATTTATAATAAAAGGGAAGGGGAAAAAAAACAGAAAAATCTGGTATTCCCATATTACCACTATTTTACAATATTTGTGAAAATTTAACCATTTTTTTTTAGTTGTAGATGGACACAATACCTTTATTTTATTTGTTTATTTTTATGTAGTGCTGAGGATCAAACCCAGGCTCCACACATGCTAGGCAAGTGCTCTACCACTGAGCCACAACCCCAGCCCCAACAGAATTTAACCATTTTAAAAAGTACTTCAGGGAGGGCTGGAATTGTGGCTCAGCGGTAGAGCGCTCGCCTAGCAAGGGCGGGACCTGGGTTCAATCCTCAGCACCACATAAAAATAAAGGCATTGTGTTGTGTCCATCTACACCTAAAAAATAAATAAATAAATATTTTTTTTTTTAAAGTACTTCAGGGGCTGTGGTGTGGCTCAGTGGTGGAGCACTTGCTTGCCTAGGACGTTTGAGGCACTGGGTTTGATCCTTAGCACCACATAAAAATAAATAGATACTCTGTGTTCATTTACAACTAAATAAATATTTGAGGAGAAAATTAATTAATTAATTAAAGGTTTAAAAAAAGCACTTCAACTAAAATACCCAGAATTAATGATTCTGGGGAATGGGTACATGAAGGTTCACTAATGAATCTGGAGAGCAGGAATATAGAGGTTCTTTATACTCTTTTCTCCAGTTTTGTACATATGGGAAACTATCATAATAAAAGTATCTGACTACATACAAATAATTTCAAAATTCTATCAATAGGTAAGTCTAACAATCAAAAATAAAATTCTAGTAGACAATAAATACTTTTCAAACAATGCTTGCTTCATTCTTGATAAACCAATAAAATTTACTGTGTATAGAACGGAGAAAAGACCTAGTCTGTCACTTCAGAGGAACAAGAATATGTTCATTAAATGGAAAAGGTCCTTTTATCCATGTTGATTGATTTTAGACAAGTCATTTTTTTTCTTCATTAAACTTAAGTCTTTGCTGAAGTATGTATAGGCTGTGTGTGTGTGGTTCTGATTAAGAAGGTCAAAATATTTACCTTCAATATCAATTCTTACATCTTGAAGCATTCAGTTAGCCCTCCAGTTACTTCAAACATCTACCGCTCTAATAAATAATCTGATACAGATGCAAAAAAGTTAGATTTTTAAAAAGCAAACCTATCCATAAATTATACCTAATCCTAAATTGTAATGAACATATATTAAAAATTATACAAAATAATAAGTAGAGGGGAAAAGTTCATTTTTAAAATAATTATCATTGCTTAAATTATGATTTAAATAGACGTAGTTTAAATCAAATCACACTACTTAGGACATGGAAGCATTAATACTAGGAGAGAGCATAAGATTCACCACTCACCAATGATCATGAATGGTTTCTAGGGTTTGGGGCACCAACATTTCCTATGATAAATAGCACCACCCAAAAATGACAACCAGATTTGTCTGCCTCCTCTTCTTGACTAATAAGCTCCAGAACAGTAAAAAGGATATATGTCTACGCAAAACCTAGCACACTGCAAGTGTGCCACTCTTAAACAGCAATAATCACCACCTTTGATTCCCAGAAAGCTATTGCTAAGTATCAGTCTCATTCCCTAGGTGAACATGCATAAAATAACAAAGCAGGGTTTCCTCACTGGCAGTTCTACTTAAATCATATTCAGAATCCTGTTTCTTCCAACAGAAACAAGTTGTCATAAAACTTGAGTGAAAAGCAGTATAAAAACATGTATGCACAGACACTCAAATGATTCTTTTGTTTCATCATTATTAAGCAACTGGCTAATTCCTAATTGAGGTATTTCACTTTTTTCAGACATTAAAATATTTCTCCTAATCTTCAATAGTTTTTAGCTTTTTCCCTTTTTATTAAAGACTTACATATCATAAAATGCACAGATCTTAAAAACTCAGCTTAATAACTGAACAAATTTATATAATTGGTGAATATGAATAAAGGTTTGCAGAAGTTCCTTATACTAGTCTTATACTTTCCACAGATTAAAAATGATATAAAAAGTTGCCCAAAAATATACACATGAATTTCTATCACCCGTGTCATTCTAAAGTACATTTTCATCACTCCAGAAAGCTCCCTTGTGTCCCTTTCCAGTCAATCACAGCTCCTACCCAGAGGCAAACACTATTCTGATTTCCATCATACCTTAGTTTTGTCTGTTCTTGTATTTTTCATAAACAGTATCATACAGTATACACTCATCTATGTCTGAACTCGTTTGTGTTCTCTTGCTATGAACAATATTTCTGACATTGCTCTATTTATTGTGTGAATCAGTAGTTCATTCCTATTGTGAAAAAGCTGCTATGAACATTTTGTACATGTCCTTTTTTAAAATTACATTTGTTTTAGTTGTAAATGGGCCTTTATTTATTTATATGTGGTGCTGAGATTCGAACCCAGGGCCTCACACGTGCTAGGCAACTGCTCTACCATTGAGCCACAACCCCAAACCTTGTACCAGTCTTTTTGTAAACATACTTTATGGCTTCTGGTATAGCAATATTTCATTGAAAAGGGGAAAAAAAAGAAGTTTCACATACAAATACGCCTGGGAAATAAAGCAATATGGATAGATAGTTATAAATACAACTATACATATAGCAACTATAATGTGTGTTTATATATAAATATTAGTTATAGATGATGCAAAAATAGACATTTGATATTTACACACATGTGTGTATATAACATGAACTTGAATAATTCTGAGAAGTCCACCTAAGACCAACAAAGATATTTTAAAAGAAATTAAAATTAAGTTCATAGTAAAAATTAATCAAAGATATTAAGTTTTTCTTAATAAGTTTATGTTTTACCTAAGAACAATTCAAAAGAGAAACAAACTTCTCTCCATGTAAATTAGCCTGTTAAATTCAATGAAACAGTATTTCTTATAACAAATATCTCTTCCCAAACTCAAAACCTCCCATGTTACCATCCATTACACAATAATTTTTTCACGCTAAGGACAAAACTCAAAATATGTGTTAAGATTACAAGACTTGGGGCTGGGGTTATGGCTCAGTGGCAGAGCTCTTACCTAGCATGTGTGAGGCACTGGGTTCAATCCTCAGCACCACATATAAATAAATAAAAAATAAAGTTACATCAACAACTAAAAAAAAAAAAATTAAGAAAAGATTACAAGACTTTATTGTCTTGCTTTTTCAAAAAATTAAATGCAAATAATTTCACTAGTTAATATTTAACATGGGTAAAGAACATCCCACACACATTCAGCATATATTCTGATAAAGACTTAATCTCTAGGATGTTTTCTCTATTCCAAATAGTGATTTACTTCAGCACTGTCTGTGACAGCAACATTTTGACTCTCAATTCTACTGTAATTTTCAGCTGACAAGAGAAATTTCTTTAATTCCCCAGAGATAAGAACAGTAATAAATATACACAATCTGATTTTTAAGAGATCAATTTGAAATTTGCAACCGTGTTTTTGATAATCAGATGCCCATGTTCAGCAGCTCATTTAATATAATCAATCAATTGCCAAAATTGACTACTACAAACAATTCTAGAAATTTACCATTGCCTTAAAAAGGAATCTGAAACTACAAATGGGATAAAACAATCCTCTTCTAGTCTTTGATCTTTCTTCATCTTCTATTCCTCGTTCCAAAAAAAAAAAAATGAGTATAAAAAACATAAAATTCAAATGTACTACATTTTTAATCTGAAAAAAAAAATATTCAGAATTTGGATGTTCCCTAGCTTTCACAGATGTGTGACTGTTTACTTAAAAATCCATTATTTCACTCTGAAAATACACCATTTTCATGTTTCTAATAACTGTACCTTTCTTTAAAAGAAGAAAAATAGCCTTGATTAAGCTTTGACTTTTATAACAACTCCTATTGGCTTAATTCCCCAACTTTCAATATGGTTTGCCTGATTGTACTAGAGAACTAAAACAAAATTTTATGGTTTTTTTTTTAAATGTTTTGCTTTCACACCAAGGATGAAAAACAAATACACCAAATGTGCAGACCCCACACTCCCTCTGGTGGTCCTTCACTCTCATTAACCAAATCCAAAAGACTATAAGGAAGTATGCACAAAATGCAAGTCAGTTCTCATAACAAATTGTAAGACATACAACTTATTTTGAGTACTGAAATTTTAGTGTTCTAAATGTTGCTAAACTACCTTTAGAGCCAGGCATGGTGGTTCACACCTATAATTTCAGCAACTCAGAAGGCTGAGGCAAGAGGATCACAAGTTTGAGACCAGCCTCAGCTACTTAGCCTGACCTTGTCTCAAAATAAAAAATAAAAAGAGCTGAGATGCAGCTCAGTGGTAAAAAGTACTTGGGTTCAATCTCCAGTATGGGAAAATAAAATAAATAGAATATAGTAATCTATTAGCTACAATCTGTTGATAACCTGTTAAAATATATGGCCCTGCAATCAATCATTTTTACCTGTCTCATTTGCAGAACTGCTTTTTACACAGTAAATATCTTATTTGCAAATTAAATCACACTTAAGGGGCCGTTTTATTTATTTATTTTATATTTATTTCTTAGTTTTCGGCGGACATAACATCTTTGTTTGTATGTGGTGCTGAGGATCGAACCCAGGCCGCACGCATGCTAGGTGAGCGCGCTACCGCTTGAGCCACATCCCCAGCCCATTAAGGGGCCGTTTTAAATCAGTAGTTTGTGATCTGCATATCATTGTTGACTCAGTCTTTGATGCATGCGTATTTAATTTTCTTTACATAATTCAGGAAAATGTCAGAATTTTAAAATGCAGTAGGGCTGGGGGACATAGCACACTGGTAGAACACTTTCCTAATTTGTGTGAGACCTTGGGTTAGATACACCCTCCCCCCCAAAAAAATAAAACTACAGTTATTTTTTAAATTAAAAAAATAAAAATGCACAAAAGTGCGGTTGGTAGAGCATTTGCCTAGCATGCACAAGGCCCTGGGTTCAATTCTCAGAACCACAAACCACAAAGCAATCACTAAACCAAACTGTAGAAAATTTTGGAAATATCAAAACCAAAAATCTAATTACTAGTCAGCTAAATTGGAATGTTGAAATAGTTCCAGATTATAAAATGTTAGATATTTAATTGTTCAGCACAAATTAATTATAGACAATTTTTTTTTTTTTGGCTGTACTGGGGATTAAACCCTGGGGGCGCTGTACCACTGAGTTCTATATTCTCCCTCCTTCTTATTTTTTGAAATAAGGTCTGGCTAAGATGCCTAGGATGGCCTCAAACTTGTGATCCTCTTGCCTCAGCTTTTCCAAGCTGGGATTACAGGTATGCACCAGCAGAAACTGCTAGAAGATATTCTTCTTCTTCTTTTTTTTTTTTTTTTTTTTTTGGTACCAGGGATTGAACCCAAGGGTGCTTAAAGGTGCTTAACCATTGCATTAACCAAAGGTGCTTAACATCCCCCTAGCCTTTTTTTTTTTTAAATTTTGAAATAGGGTCTCACTAGGTTACTTAAAGCCTCACTAAATTGCCAGGACTGGCTTCAAATTTGCCTCCAGAGCCACTGGGATTACTGGCATGCGCCATCACACCTGACTAGAGGATATTCCTAATGCTAGGTACAACAAGCATATTACTGTTATGTAAAGGAGTTTTAATATATATAACAGTGTCATTTGATCTATTCTTGAATTTAAAGTCCTTGTTTTTTGTAGTTCAGTGGTAGTGTTTGACTATCATACATAATGGCCCAGGAGTCAATCCACAGGGAAAGAGAGAAAAAAAAAAAAAAAGAAAATTTACTACCACAACAGCCCTCCAAACTCAAAATGAGCCATATCTGAGGGTAGATGCTTTAAAATGGTGCCAATTTTTTCTTTTATATATGTGATAATCAACTTATGCTTAATTTTGAAATTAAAATATGGTTGATAATTTTTTAAACATTTATTTATTTATACGTGGTGCTGAGAATCAAACCCAGTGCCTCAAAAGTGCTAGGCAAGCACTCTACCATTGAGCTAAAGCCAGAAGCCCAATTGATAATTTTATGATATGGTCTACAAGTTAAAGTGAACAAAAATAAATAAAAATTTAATTCTAAACTGGGCTTTTAAGTGAAAGCACTTTTCTATCTAAAAACTTAGAATATGCTTTTTTGTAACTAAGTATATGAACTATAACTTTATAATGTGGCATACTCAAGCATCATCATCATAGGAAAAGGATTATGAACCCTCTGTTTACATACAATAATTTAAATTAATGTTAAATCATGGAATCAATTAAATCATCCCAAACAAAGAAAGTCCCAGTCTTATAAGTTCCCTCCAGATACTTATGTAGAATAAACCCATTCAACATGAAGGAAAAAGTTATGATTCAACCAAATTGCCCTCACCAACCATCCAAAAGCCAACTCAGCCTTTTGTGGCACTAACCTCTTCTATAGGTACTCCAAAAGGATGCTCATTCTTTGGATTAATTCATCCTAAGCTGAGAAAACTTTGGGAAACTAAAAAATCCAAAATATGCATTCTTTTCCAATCTAAATATAAACAGAAAATTGAAGATTTAATTAGTCATCTAACCCAATAGTCTTAAGTTTTTCATGTTCAACTGATTAAAATTATGTTCTAAAAGAAATCCACCCAAAATTCCCATAACTAAAAAAATTAAAGACTAAAAAACGGGACTGGGGTTGTAATTTAGTGGTAGAACAATTAACCTAGCACATGTGAGGCACTGGGTTTGATCCTCAGCACCACATAAAAATAAACATACTCTGTTCAACTACAGCTAAAAAAAAATTAATTAAAAAAAAGATTAAAAAACATTTGTTAATGTTGGAATGGCAAAGACCTCATAACATAAAAGTTTGTTGTTTTAGAGAAATAAAACAATTTACAAAGACTGTCTTAGATTTTTTAAATCTCAAATAATGAGAACTATTAGCTAATTCTACATGGTAAAAAGGTAAAATTACCATTCAATTAAATCTGAATAAATTAGCATGGTTAAATATTAACTTTGTTCTTAGAGAAGTTAACTTCTCTGAAATATAAATCATTTGCAATATGGTTACAAATAACACATTAGAAAAGAAAAATAGAGTAAATTAAATCAAGTGTTTCTCACAAATGACAAGTTAACTATAAGCCTCCTTTTAAAAGTAATTTTCAAAATATACTATTTCTACAGAATCACTGAATTAGGGCCATAATTGTAGATTGTTAAGCACAGGTCAGTTGGGAGAGAGACAAACAGAAAATGGTAAGTGAAAGCATGACAGAATAAGAACTTCCCACCAGAATAAGAATTTTTTTCAAGTCAATTATTGAATTTTGATTCAGATACCATGAAAAGCTTCTACTATATTCTCTAAAAACCCTAATGCAGAAGGGGGGCAGAACTCCCACACACTATTACAAATCCTTAACCAAATTATGCCTTAACTTTTCCCTTTTCTACAACCTAAGAAAATGGAAAAACAATGAAAATAAACACACCCGTCTACTCTCAGGCAAAGAAAGCTCCCATTCAATGCTAAGCCTTATTCCACTGGAAACGTACTCCTAAAAAGTAAATCCCAAACCACGAGCTCAAAATGCTTCATGCAGAATTTACTGAATGGCGGCCAATCGCTGTACACGCTGTCCTGAGCCACACTGAAGGATATCTAGAGCTCTGCGTTCTCCTCTTACAACTTGTACCTTGGTCCATTCGCCAACACTGCAGAACCCGATTTTTTAAATGCGACTAAAATGTTCCTCCTGGCCCATCAATAGGGAAAAAAAGCAATCTACACCCTGATGGTCAAAAAAAATTGGCAGTACTGGTTTTTAGGCGATACACTATCGTCAGCACACCTTTTTAGACAATCGACAGGGCAGGAGTTACAACGTCCTTGGTCTGAAGTGAGTAAGCACCCCTAACACAACTTTGAACTGGCTTTCTGCTAGCACTAGGCTAATGCAGATCACCTGTTAGAACGACTCACACGCACACCCTCAACAAGTGGCCGAGAGCGGCGATGCGGTTCCCTGTCACTTGTCCTAGGGCGGCAGGTGAAGCCGGTGAACGCCCATCCACACCCATCGGCCGGTCACGGCAGAGGCGGCAAACAACCCCGGGACGCTCCGTTATCCTCACCCTCCCGGGCCCGCCAGGTGAGCAGGGCTCCATCGCCCGCGGCGTCCGGCGCTGGGCTCAGCCGGGCTCGACTTCTAGGGCAGTCCGGGTCCCGGAAGGCGAAGTTTCACTCCCGCCCGCGGCATGGCTGCTCAGGCGCCGCCCGGTTCTCAGAGGGTCCGGCCGCCCGCTCGGAGCCGCTGCGGTCACTGCCCGCCGGGCCTGGAGCGAGTCCTGGGCCGCCAACCAGAGCCGGAGCGAGACCTGTCACCCGGGCGGGAAACAAAAGCCGAGGACTAGCGGGCGCGACCGGCCTCGCCTCGATGAGGGGGAGCGCGGCGGGGGCTGGGAGCGGCTCCGGCCGCTGCCCAGCTCCGCGCCTCCGGGAGAGAGCCCCGGCCCCGAGGCCCCTGAGGCGCGGCACGGACCCCGCAGTGCGGCTGGGCCTCCCGCGCGCTCACCTCGAGGCTTCCCGGGCCCGGTTCGCCCCTACACGCTGCTCCGGTTGGGGAGAAGCGCGAGGGGGCGGGGAAGAGAGCGACCGCGACGGGACCGGGAAGGAGGGAATTCGGTTTTGGGGGGTGCCACGACCGCCCGCCCCACCCCTGCAGCCATGGTTCCTGTACCTGTCGCCGCGGTGGCTCGCCGGCTCCGTCCCTCTTTGCCTAGCCCGCGCCCCACTCACCCCTCAGCCCGCCCAGCAGGCCGCCCGCGCGCCGGACAACGCCGCCTGAGACTGGCAGCGCCCGCGAGCCGGCCCGAATCCCCCGGGCAGCGCCCGGCGCCGTCCCGCCCCCGCCGGCCGCAGGACCCGCCTTCCATAGGGCCCTAGGGCTGTCAGTCCGCCCCCAAAAGGCGCGCGGGCTGCCGCTCCGCCTGTCCGGATTGGTGGCCTAGCACCATCCATGCAAATAAGACCCCGCCCATATTCATTTGCATCTCCTCCTCCCCACATCAGCCACGTGTCTGGCCCTTGCCCTTTGTGGGGGCCGCAGAAAAGGGATGCAGGAAGCTGACCAACACCCCCTCACATCATCCCTTACCTCCAGAGAAACTAATGTCTAAACAAGCTACTTGACTTCATATCTGCATGGACCCCCTGAAGGCTCAGCCCCTCCCTTCGATTCACCAGGCCTGCCCTGGGGCTGGAGCCGCTGGCCAGTCTTACCCCAGGAAACAACTCCATGATGCTCAGTGGGGTCAGGGGAAATCCCACCGTGGTAATCACTTTAACTCATAGTACCTCCCTCTGGACACCAGTGACCTTGAAGACCATACTTTCCCAAGGCTCTCTCCTTTTCAAACATGATATCCCAGGCGGCTAAGACAGCAGTGGGCCTTAAAATGGCTGTGTTCTTCCCCCAACCCAACTCCAAAGGATAGGCTGCTGAGCTCAGCTTCAAGGCCTTAGGGAATCTAGTTCGACCCCCAAGAAACAGAAACCTAAAGTTCCATAGCTAGTTACTTATGGAACATACTAGTTATCTGTGAAAACCTAACATTTCATGGCCAGGTTAGAAACCATGTCTCCTGGGGCTGGGGATGTGGCTCAAGCGGTAGCCCGCTCGCCTAGCATGCGTGCGGCCCGGGTCGCACCTCATACAAACAAAGATGTTGTGTCCGCTGAAAACTAAAAAAAGAAAAAAACAAAACAAAACATGTCTCCTACTGCCTTTTTTTTTGTGTGTGTAGGGATTGAACCCAGGGCCTTGTGCATGCAAGGTAAGCGCTCTACCAACTGAGCTATAGCCCCAGCCTCTGAGATCTGCTCTTTTTGCGCAGTCACATTCAAGAATTTGTGAAGAGTCTCTTTTACAAGTCACTATACTAGGTGTAGGTACTGTAATCATTCATTCCCTGCTTGTAGGAGGTGATGTATACAAAAACAAACAAAAAAAGAAGTCAACGCTGAAACATCCTCATGGGCAGGTCCTGTTTCAGTCATTTGTCTATCCTTAGTGCCTAAAAGCTTTCCTTTTACAAGCTGCTAGGGAGAGTAATTGGAACAATTTATTTGTGCATTAATTCAACAACACAACGTTGATCATAAGTGATCTACTATGCTTACTAAGAGCAAGTATTAAGCATTGTGCTGTGCAGGGTATACGGAAGTGAGAAGACACTGTGCCAGTCTTCCATGGCTTCAGCCTAAGAGATAGGGATATCCACATCACATTTCAGTGTTCCTTGTGTTACAGGGGTTGTGACATGTCTGCACAGGGCACAGTGGAGGGCTACAAGGAGGGAGGAATCGCAGGGAGGGCTTCACTGAAGAGGTGACACTAGAGTCAACTCTTAAAAGCTGAAGTAGATATTTGCCCATCAGAGGGTGTGGGTGGTTTAGGAAAGAGACTCCCAGCAGGGAAGGATAGCTTGAGCAAAAAGCATGCAGACCCGGAAAAGCCTAGTAATTGAAGGAACACTGAGGAGCATTGTGGGCAAATCTGCAGGGTTGTGTGGACATGTTACATGTTCTGGGACCAGGCTCTTCCAGGAGGAAGACAGAAAAGCCCAGGAGGCTGCCAGGCTGTGTTGTAACATACCTTAGCAAACAACAACAGGCCCAGCTGCAACCTTTTTTACCCCCTAGGCCAGAGTCTTTGGGGAACAGTCAGTTCTACAGTTTTGATGTCTGTTCTACAGCCTGGCTAGCTCCACCCACTCCCCCAGAAAACTACCCTGACCACAATACTTGCCCTTCTCAGCATTTGGAAGTATGTGTGCTTGAATTTTCCCTAAACATCACTGCCTTTCAGAATTCAGAAATGACATGGGCTATGGCTCCAGACACCTGGATGTGGGATGAGCATTTCCTTCCAAATGCATGGAGCAGTTCTTTTCGGGGCCTGTCACCAAGGCTGGCTTCATGGGTATGTGACCTTTGCACTGACACAAAGCCCCAATTTTGGAGGGGTCCTATTTTGGGTTTAATTCTCTACTCTTGCCATCTTGAAATACTTAGTAATTTTTTCAAGAAGAGGCCCTGAAAATTATATAGTCCTGTCTGTCATTTACTACCCCAGGCATGCTTGTGATATCACTCAAACCACATCTCATTTTTAAAGCACTTGGCATTCACTAGGTTTGTTCACATGCCTTGTGCTACTTGATTCTCAAAATGGTGATATGGGATGGGCTGGCATTACTTTTTTTTTTTTTTTTTCGTTTTCGGCGGACACAACATCTTTATTTGTATGTGGTGCCGAGGATCGAACCCGGGCTGCATGCATGCCCGGTGAGCGCGCTACCGCTTGAGCCACATCCCCAGCCCATACTTTTTATTCTTATTTATTAAATAAGAAAACTGAAGTTTGGCAACTCTCTCCAGATGGCCCAACTAGAAAGAGGCAGAGCTTACACTCACCCAAGTCCTATTTCACACACTATGGAGCTACCTCTAGCTTGGTTTCAGAATCCTTTCAACAGCAGCTTTGCAGCCTAAGGATATACCGTTTTAAGAGTCAAAACACAACCCGGGTGCAGTGGTGCACACCTGTAGTCCCAGTTGTTTGGGAAGCTGAAGCAGGAGGATCACAAGTTCAAAGCCAGCCTCAGTGATGGTGAGGCACTAAGCAATTCAGTGAGACCCTGGCTCTAAATAACAAATACAAAATGAAGCTGTGGCTCAGTGGTTGAGTGACCCAGAGTTCAATCCCTGCTACCAAAAATAAATTTTTTAAAGAAGAACACATTTGGGGCTGGGGAGGTGGCTCAAGCCGTAACATGCTCGCCTGGCATGTGTGGGGTGCTGGGTTCGATCCTCAGCACCACATTAAAAAATAAAATAAAATAAAGATGTTGTATCCACGGAAAAATGAAAAATAAATGTTAAAAAAAAGTTCTCTCTCTCTTCTTTCTCTCTCTCTCTTTAAAAAAAAAGAGAGAGAACACATGTTAGATATCTGTAATATCACAACTATTACCTTTTGAATATTTTTCATCAGTTTTGAATAATTTCAGCCATTATATGTTTAAATAGTGTTTCTGTCCCTTTTTCTCTTTCTTTCTGGGTCTCCAATTGAAACAATAGTTGACCTTCTTATTTTGCCACTTTATTCTGCATCTTCTATCTTTTGTCCTTCATGATTTGTTCTAAGCATCTTCTATTTTTCAGCTCACAAATTCTCTTTTTCAGTTTTGTTTTTTTAATATCCTCTTAAACCCACTCATTAACTCCATTTGGTTTTTCTGTTTTAGTTCTAGAATTTCTGTTTGGTTCTTTAATATTTATTTTTTAGTTTTAAGTGGACACAATATCTTTATTTTACATTTATGTGGTGCTGAGGATCGAACTCAGTGCCTCAAGCATGCTAGGCGTGCACTCTACCACTGAGGCACAACCCCAGCGCCGCCACCGCCCACCGCCCCCACCCCCCATGGTTCTTTTTTTAATATATATATTTTTAGTTGTTGATGGACCTTTATTTTATATATTTATTTATATGCAGTGCTGAGGATTGAACCCAGTGCCTCACACATGCTAGGTAAGCGCTCTACCCCGGAGCCACAACCCTAGCCCTGTTTTAGAACTAAAAAGCAAATTCAACTGTTATGCCACTTATGATATTTTCAAACTTAGCTTTTCTCTTTTTAAACATAGTAAACATGGTTGTTTCATGATCTACATCTGATTCTCCACTGTCTATTTTGTTTGGTTTTTTGTTTGTTTGTTTGTTTTTTGGTTTGGTTTTGGTACTGGGAATTGAACCCAGGGGACTCTACCACTGAGCTACATCCTCAACCCTTTTTAAAAGGTTTTTATTTTGAGATAGGGTCTTGCTAAGTTGCTGAGGCTGGCCTCAAATTTGTGATCCTCCTGCCCCAGGCTCCTGAGTCACTGAGATCACCAGCATGCACCACCGCTCCTAACCACTGTCAGTTTTAACCACTGGTTCTTCCTTGTGTTTTTTCTCCTTGTGTACCTTGGTTCTGTTTTGGGTATTGTATTTGAAAAAAAACATTCAAAGCAATGATATCTTCCTCTGGAAAAGATTTCCCTTTGTTTCTGCCTGGCATCTGAAGGCACTAGCAGGGATCACCTTAACTCAATTTCAGGCCTCCAGATTTTCTGAGTCACCCAGAAGACTTGAAGCTGGGTTAGGGTCTGTGGGACTTTTTGTTTATTTATGTTTACCACTTACTTAGTGGTACAGCTCTTTAGGGTCCCAACCTTAAGATTGGGAGTTGTTTTAGTGACGTATTTCTCCATAGCAAACTATTCATAAATTTAGTGGTTTGAAAAC